TAAGAGGGGAAAAAACATTCGAGGACTTCTAGTGTTTTAAGCAACTTATATTTTTCATGGGAAGTACTGTATCATTTTTTTTATGCATCATTAAGCTAGGTGCACAATTCATGTATTGCATTAATTTGGGTAGCCTAATTGTGTATATCTGTTTGAGAAAAAGTGTACAAGTGAATGTGAAGTGTGTATGTCTGCATGGGCAATTATATCAATCCAATAGTCTCAGTTCTGTTAGGATGAGGTCAGAGTCACTGGAGGGTTTCTTTATCTTAAACCATACCAACGCTGCAGTCTTGTCATCTGCATACAGATAGCTTCAAATGAATGCTGACTGCAGAATTATGTAACACAGCTCAACCCAAGAAGAAAAAAGAACAAAAAACAAATCTGGATTGGCAGCTTTTTGGACACACTGAAGCATTGTCTAAATATAATGGTTTTTTTCTGCCTACATTCAGAAACTCCTGTAAGAGCTACATGGGCTATAAAGGATGGAATATGTTTAACACAACACACACACATTGGACATAGACTTCTGTAGTCTAGTATAAAGGAAAACAAATTGATCACAGTTATCGTGGTTTGCTTGTTTTGCTCCCCTGCAGACTTTCAGCAACACTAAATAATAAATATAACATCTGCTTGGTCTTTCTGCGACAGTTTCAAAGTTATTTTATTCTTTTGAATGAACCACGGATAAAAAATAATTGGAAGCGGTGGCCGCATGCATTTCTTGACAGTCAAATAAACTCAGTTTCAGCTTTATGTCCTCCTGAACTTGTTTTCACCTCTTTCCCTTTTCTCTTCTGCCACTCCTGACATGATCACTGTTATGGTGCCTCAGTTTCTCCATAGCGCAGAAGATCTGAACTGCGAATGTATTTCAAGTATATGACAGTAAAGTGCAGAAGTTAACACACACAATGTGTTCTCATCCATTGTGTTTTCTGACCTCGCCACAGTGGTCATTTTTGGAAAGGAGATGGTGTCTATGCACATTTCCATCCAGGGTTACGTAATAAAAACAATAAGGTTAACTACGTCTGCATGCCAAAAGTCTATCAGCTCTCCTCATTGGCGGTGGGAGTTTAGCCATTAAGCCTGGCTGAGTCACTCAGTCACCTGATGGTCACACTATTGGCAGTAATGTCACACCTCAAGCCAAAGCAGCAGGGTTTTAAAGTTGGACACTTCCCCCTTCTAAGACACTCTAAAGATCTCCCTGAGAGGTAGGACACAAACCAGCAGAGGCCAGATCCTGAGATGCCAAGTTCAGAGAGTGTGGGTAGGAGGATTTGATGGTTAATTGTGTCAAAGGCTGCTGACAGGTCTAACAGCAATAGAACTGAGGAATAACCAGCAGCTCTAGCCAAATGTAGCGATTATGTTACCGACAGTATGGAAGTCTCAGGGTGGTCCTACTTAAAGCCTGACTCATTTGGGTCAAACAGATCGATTCTGGACAGGAACTCAGAGACTTGATTAAAGATTGAGAGCTCGAGTATTTTTGACGGAAAAGGCAGTTAGTGAAACCCATCTGTAATTTTCAACCAGGGCTGCGTTAAGTGTGGGTGTTTTGAGCAGTGGGCTGACCCAAGCTAGCTTGAGTGCAGACAGCTGTGGTACATGATGTGAGTGGGAACCTCAGCTCTGAAACCTTGATTTAGTCTCATAAACGAATCAGGATTCTGTTACTGCAAAGCATATTTCTTTTTCTTTTTTTTTTTTTTTTTTAAGTTATTCAAAAAAATGGGGAGAAGATTAAGGTCCAAAGAGCTATTCTTTTCCATTTTGAAAATCACATGTTAAAAAGATTAAAGTCCATCTAGCAGTGAGTTTGTCCAATCAGGTGAACACATGCTTCCAGGGAGAAAATGCAGAGCAGAGTTCACAAAAGGCTGTACAAAGCCAACACTGCTGTTGATGAAACTGACACTGCAATGAAATCCAAATCCAGCGATTGGAAAGACCACGCACTGCTGCTATTCTGTAACTGTTTCAGTTTATCAGAGATTATTTCAATCACAGTTGATTATTTTTACAACCTGCATATTTTGCAAAGACTTCAATTTCTGATTTTTAGTCACTGATATGCTCGCGTTATTCTATTTTGGTATGAAAGCTACAGAATCCTTAAGGATTAAACTGAAGGTGTATCATTATTCCAACACTTCAAGGTCGTCTTTTGTCAAGCCCTAAAATTGCAGAGCGTAATATACGCTACCAACATCTATGACCTTGATTTTGGCAGTCCTGTATAATTCAATGTGTCTTCTCCTCAGCGGGGCAGTGAAAGAGATCCATGTAAATGATAGACGACTCGTCATTCATCACTGTCATCACCTTGACACCCAGGAGGTAATAACAGCCCAGTTGTCAACTATCCAATGCAAGCTCAAATATAAAAGCAATGGACATTGAAAAGGTGGGAAATGAGGGCTCATCAGATGGAGTATGACTACAAAAATATGGTTGGCAGAGGTATTGGTTAATGAGGAAAATGCATACATACCCCCTTCATAGTAGGTGATCAAGTAAGAACAAAAGCCCTGTCTTACACTCTGACCTGGACAATCACTGCAAAAAACATTTCTACTTTTTGTCCATCACATTACTCATTTTTACTGAAAGTGCTAACCTTGTTTTTCTAGCACTTAATTGCCCACACAGGGGTGTGATGGTATTAAAAATAAGAAGGTGCCAGGTGTATTTATGATGTACTGCTACCTTGATGCAACCTAGTGACTGTGCCATTGACCAAGACTATTTTTTGTCCCTGTATTCTCCCTATTGTCGTTTAAAGGGCACATAAGTAAAATCTCTTCATATTGTTATACTGTTTCCCAATGAGGCCATTATTTAGAAGACAGAACACAAGGAAACTCTTACCCTTTTCCTCTCCTGTCCCACCACAGGAGGGAGATTCCCTAGCCCTGCTAGAGCCCTGTACAGGCCAAGAACTCCAGCTGTGTCTGACCCCAAGCTTTCCCCAATCACTCACACATTCTATCTTATCTATCACACGCACTCACAATTAAAGAAGTACAGTCATACCCAAAATATTGTTGCAGACTGTGCAAATTACATTACACACACATAAAGAATGTAGCTATGGTTTCCAGCTGCAAAGTAATTAAATAATGTAATCTTGTGTTGAAGAATTTTCATATTTCAATAGGATAGCTGCAGTAAATATTACATAAATCTGTGTACTATCATATGTCATATAGAAGCCTGTATAATCTTCTGCGTGTCGAGATACACTGTGGAAGGGGAAAAGTTTAATTTTCCATCCTGAAAATGGCAGGGATTCCCAGTGTATAGCAATGTGCTTGCCTGTAGGCCCAACTGGCTTTAAAGGGAATGAGAGCTGACACTCTGATTGGTTTGATTCATGATACGCACAATAAACACACAGAGAAGAAGACAACCCATGGGAAGAAAAGCTGCTACATATCAGACTGTAACAGCTTGTTTCCAAATAAGGCAATAATATGAAGAAAACATAAATGTGGATGTGACAGGAGAAACTTACAACATTTGGGGTTAAGAGTCCACCAGGAGAGAGCAAAACATGCTGAGAAAGGCAAACAGCAATCTTAGACAAGTGGGACAACAGGAACCCAAAGATGCATGGAAAACAACAGCGCTGAAAGACCCAACAATTCTGAGGGCTGAGTGATAGGAGAAGAAGGAGACCCACTGATGGAAAGCTAGCACCCTTGTGATCACCTAGGAGATCTAATTTTATATCTGAGCAAAGCCAAAAAGTAGTGAGCAATGACCAAGCCTCAAGAAATAAGATCAGTTCAGGCCCAATTCAAACCAGGCAGAACTATGGAGTAAATCACTAATCTGGACCTTACAAAGATAATAACGGGGGAATCCAAGCTAAACCAGATACCGCACTCAATTACAGGAGTACAAAACAGATTTGTTTGGCAGCACTTTGAATCCAAGATAAATTTCCCCCAGGGGACAATAAAGTGTATTGTTTTTGTATTCAATAAACAGAAGACCGCCCAGAGAATAAAAAAAAATAGATCTTTGAGGTTGTTCAGAGGGAAAAAAATCAACAAGAGAAATGTAAGACCCTGAAAGCACTTTGGAATGAGGTCAGCGAACCTGTAAGGGCAAGGAAGAGAAGTAGAAAGAAAGAGCCAACAAGAGCAGAGTAAGATGTCCAGAGAACATCTCGAACAACATCAGTGCAACAGACCACCAAGGAACTTATTCTTATTGTTAAGTTCAACACCAACTGATAACAAATGTAATGGAGCCCCTTTACATGACATTCAGGACTAAACTGCCTGGCAGATACTAGAGGTTGCCCAGGAATGTCCCTTTTTTAATTCCTTTTTGTTGCAGCCTTTGAGCTAACCCTCCCTAAAAGTAAAAAATCGGTAGGAGGAACTACACTGCAATCAGGTTTAGAGACTACGTCCATTGAGGAGATACATGACAGGACGATGATACGTGACTCCTTTTGCCGGCAGCATGTACCTCCAGGTTGCTAAGAATGATGGGTAAGCTGATGTCCTGGGCAAGAATAAGGTTAAAACCCTTCAAAATATAAAGCCTTCAATTTCTACTCGAGGCTAAATAATTTCAAAATCTTCTGCACAAGTAGACAAACTGTGCGATAGTTTGAGACCATTATCAGAAGCACATTTGCTGCCATATGGAAAATACAGTATAGGTTAGGCACATGAAACTTCATCACAAAACTTATTCTTTATAAGCAAGACTCTGCACTGTCGTCATGACAAACTTCGGTCAGACTGCAAACATGTTTTCATGTTAGTGCCAAGGAGCGAATGGTTAAGATGCTGAGTCATGTCCTCTCTGAATGTCACTTTTTGTTATCATTCTCCTTTGACAGCTGTCAAAGAAATTAAGAAGTACGCTGCTTCTGCTGCTCTCTAGTTGATTAACAGGTTTTTTTTTTACTTTCATATTTCATTCACACATTAATTATAGAAAGAGGGAGTCATATGTACCTTTGACTGAAACTGTTCTCCTTCCTCCGACAGTGGAGTGTAACCACCCTGTGACCTTCACTTCTGATATCCTGGCTAACAGTCCACACTACAGGGTTACTCGCTCTGGCTCCAAGGAAAGCCACGCCGTCCTTCAGCTTGACCCTGAAAACAGAAAAACAAAAGGGAACAAAATGAATGAATAAGATGATCGTTGAATTCTCACCGCAACGGCTCACAAATGAAATGCCACAGCTTCAGGAAAAGACGTCTTTTTTCTGTCTGTGAAACACACAAACATGTCAGAAGAAAGACTTAAAAGGTCATAAAACAAACTCTTCAAACACTCTTGGTCTCGCAAACCTTCTCACACAAACATGAAGGAGAAAACAGAAGCTGAACAGAAGATTGTTTTGGATGCTGGATTAAAAGAAAGATCAAAAACTGGCTTTTTTCTATGACAGCACTACATTTGGTGATTGCTAGTTTTTGAGAATATCATAGCTCTCTCACAAAACGTGTTCTGTCTCTGAATTCATGCTTTCTTTGGACCTTATCCATTTCGGTCCATTTCGATCCATTTCTGTGGCAACAGCAGGCATGTCGTTTTTATCTGTTTCCCCCATCTTATCATGAAAGGAAGTATGGCAGAAATATCTTTGGACCTCTAGTTGGCAGGGGACATATGATTAAGCTGCTACAGTAGTTAGCTTCTGTTAATTGTAATGCAGATCGTGTGCGCCAGCATCTGTGTGTGTGTGTGTGTGCGTGTGTGTGTTTGTGTGTGTGTGTGAGTGCGTTAGAGGGAGAGACAGAGAGCATGTTTTTGCCGGTGTGTTGCAGGTTGAGCCATGCATATGAGACAACTGAAATCATCCCCCGTCTGTGGGAGTTTTTATGTTAAAATATTGTGAATGCTCCATCTCGATTTCCCTCGTAGGTTGTGCACATAAATTACGAGCTCTGGCTGTGCGTCGTAAATGATTTAGTAGTACAGTGTGAGCTGACATTTTGCCACAACTTTTCTACAATCGTACAGGTTTTAGTCTCCCAACATAAGAAATCTCTCTGGAGAAAACTCCACTTCCTCCAATTGTCTGTCATTCACCCCACACCTGCAGTTTAAAAATAACTCCACTCTCTTCAGCCTCCATGCACTCTCTGCTCAATCCTCTTGTTTGTCACTCTACCACTTCCATTACTGGTGGTCACAGTCTGGAGGAGGCTCTACAGGTGCAGGAGAACCATGACCTTCTCTTCCTATTCCAATAAGATGACACACTGTTGCTCTCCTCCTCTTCCTTTGTCACATGAAATCAACATGAAGAACACGAGCACTGTTCAGTTCTTACTGTTCTATCATGACAAATTGCTCTTATTCAAATGAGAATATCTATGATTGACGGCTGCAGGAATAACGAGAATGCGCAGATCTAAAGTAAAACACCACCAGCACAAAAAGGTAAGCAGTAAGGAGTAAGACACAGTGTAGATGTAGATTTTTCCTACATTAAAACAATTAGAGAATGTTCTTGTTCTGGAGCAGTAAATGACTTGTAAAGGATGAAGGACAGAAAGGAGGATAATGACATGACAACCAACCATGCAGCAGTCCTTAGAAGTGCACAGTTTTTACATCTTCTGTGTTCAGTCGGGCTTCTTTGATCTGATCCGGCCTGCTGAGGCGGTAATAACTGGACTTGTGTTGGCTGCCTTTGGAGATAAAGGCAGCCGGTGTGGAAGACAAAGACAAGGAGGAGAGCACAGATTACTGTCTGGCCTCCTGTTTCCCCAGTCAACACCTCAGCCACAGTGCAGTAATTACCTCAAACTCACAGGCCGATTCAGCTCTGATAGTGGACTATGTTAGGATTGATCATCAATTATTACAGACTAAAATCCTACAGTATGCACACTACATTAATCTGAAAAATCATGGAAAAGCACAACATTTCTTATCACTGTTACGCAGATGATACTCAACTATACCTACACATAAACCCAAACAATCAATCAGACTTCAATTCTCTTACACAGTGCCTGGAAGACATCAAATGCTGGATGGCCCAGAATCTCTTACAGCTGAATGAAAACAAAACTGAAGTGGTTCTTTTTGGCCCCTCCGAAGCCATAAAACTGGTCCCAAGCAGCTTAGGTCATCTTTCCTCCCTCATCAAGCCACACGCTAAGAACCTTGGAGTAATATTTGATTCTGCCTTCACATTTGAATATCAGATGAAATCAGTAGTTAAAACCAGTTTCTTTCAGCTAAGAACCATCTCGAAATTTAAACCTACCCATTCCTTTCACGACTTAGAAATAATAATCCACGCTTTCATCTCGTCCCATCTCGACTACTGTAACTCCCTGTATTCGGGGATCAGCCAGTCATCCCTATCACGACTGCAACTGGTTCAAAATGCTGCAGCCAGGCTGCTTACTGCCTCTCGTAAAAGGGAGCATATCAGCCCTGTTTTAGCCTCTCTTCACTGGTTTTTCCAATTCGTTACAGAATTGATTTTAAGGTTGCATTGTTTGTTTTTAAAGCACTAAATGGCCTGGCACCCTCTTATATTACTGATCTCCTCAGCCCCTACACAACGACCAGGCCCCTCAGATCCTCTAACATGGGCCTCCTAGCTAGGACATTTTGTAGACATCTGTAGCAGCTAGGGTTCAAACCGTCAACCTTTCCAAGATTAAACAAACCAATGTATCACTTAGCCACAGCTTCTGATTATGGCAAAATGAACAAATGGCATATTTTTGAAGATTGGTTTGGATAATATGATTTCTGGTAAAGGTTGGATGGGCACAGATGCAATAATAGGAATGAAAACTGAACGGAGGCCACTATATCAGCATATGTAGCTGCCTCATTAATTCCTTAAAAATGTGCATCAGTGGTGGGGTGAGATCAAGGCTGTGAGAAAGACAGATTTCAGCTCTCTGTGAGTGACACTTAGAGGCTGTCTTTTATGTCATTTCTGTCTAAGTTAAAGTAAACACACCCTGCACTATCGCCTGCCTCATGTTGAACATATGTTGTAAGTTGTACAACAAGAAGTAAAGGGGAGTGTGTGTGTGTGTGTAGTCAACTGTTGCCATGATATCTAAGGGCTGTGGCTGAATAGTTAAATCAGAAAGGATCATTTATTATTTACCAAGAAAATGTTACTTGCTCGATGCTTTCATTGGCTTTCCCTGTTCCACTGACATTACCTCTAAAGGGTGTGAGCTGTATTGAAAAGAGTATGACTGTGTATAACTAGGGTTGTGTTTGTCTGGAGGCAGTGTAAAAATCTTTGTGAAGGGATTGGAGATGTATAGGGAAAGGTTGGTTTTGATGGTGTTTGAGCAGAGTGAGAGAATGGTGTTTTACAGAGTGCAGCCAGGCAGAACAGGAGAGACAGGTGTTGTTTCAATGTGAATGAAAAAGGACAGATGAGGAAAAACTTTAAGGAGAGGAGAAGGGTTAAAGACTCAGAGAAGGCTTCACTGGTTGAGAGGTAAGAATAGGAGATTTTACTCATCACTCTCTAGGCTGGCAAAACAAGCTCTTATATTTGAAACCACATAAGATGAATACATTTCATTTTGATTCTCAAGAGGTTCTTGACATGGTTATTTGCCTGTATTGGCACTCAGGTGATACCTGCTCATTAGTCACACAATAACTTCACAAACACACACACCTTGGACTCTCGTCTTATCTGATATAGCATTAACACATTGGCAGAGAGTGGGCTGCTGAAGATAAATTAAAGTGAGAAACAATCATTCCAATAATCAGCACAGGGAACAAAAGATAGCACCTTCAGTTCTGACATCACAAGAACGCTCCTGTAAAGGTGGAGCCAGATGGAGAGAAGCTGTAACACAGAAGAGACACAGCACATTCAAACACAGCCTGAAACCGGCTTCTGAAGCATCTTTAACCAAACCCATGTTGTGAAACGTTTGAAGGCAAGAAAAGACCAAACCACACAGACAGGACAAAATGCTCTGGTGATTTGTGAGATGAAGCAAATACAAACAATAACTCGTGGTTCGAGCATGCTTTCCCAATTAATTTTGAGAAGGTAATGTAATGTCGTATGATTACTCTACAGAGAGCAGGAGTGGACAAATCACATTGAGTGTTTAGTCGACTGATGGTGTCCCTTAATTCTCAAACACCTGAAGCTAAACCCAGTTATTGACTTAACACTCAAACTGCTTTCTTTATGTCCTCCTCCCTCTCGTTCTCTCTCTCTCTCTACCTCTGTCTCTCTTACTTTAAAACAAAATAATCGCCATCCCCGCGGGGTAAAATTAAATGAGATAGCAGTCAATGACAGGTGAAGCAGGCTGGAAGCTCGTTCAATAAATGAGTAGGGTGAAACGAGGAGCTGCTCAGGGTCAATTGAGCGCACACAGGCAGATACAAAAATAAAGAGAATGCAAATCAATGTGTTTGATGCTGCCTTTCCCATTATCAGACCTAGTTAAAAGTGCTGGTGCATGGCAATGCTGCAAACCAGGAAAAGATTAACACAATCAGATAAAAAAAAAAAAAAAAAAAGCCAGACAAAGGGTTTCTCACTGTCTGAGCCTTTTTGTCTCACTTTCACATATCTTGTTCTATCACTCTCTGTCTGTGTCTATTGGTTTCCCCTGTGATGTTCTGCCTTCCTCACTGGATGTAGTCATGACTGCACGACAGGCTTTTTGACTTTTCAGATAATCGGGTATGCTCCACACTCTTGTCATATTCATTTTTTTAATATGCAAGATTTTGTCTGTTAACCATCATCAGCTATTATTGATGCTTCTTAATCTATGTTGTTTTTTTTTTTTTTTAGCAGAACACACCTGTAATCAAGAGGTAATGGTGTGAAGAGCTCTGCTAACCTTTAAACTTCTTTGAAAAGGTTAGGGTAATTTGGAAAGGGTTGGTGTAGCAACAGAGCTGAAGCAAAGTTGGTGTAAATGTAGGAGCTCCGGTAGCACCAACGTGCTTTGTCAAATCATCCACTGGAGCACACATTTTTGAAGAATTGTTTAAATAATTAAGCTAAGGTAAAGGAAGAGCTCATTCCATGAAATAAAAAGAATATCTGTATAAAATGGACCTCTGTTGGAAGCTATTAAAGTGAGCTGGGCTGGAAAAGGAATCAAACTAT